ATGGAGACTCTGTATGCTACAAATCATAGCATGAAATGCAACTCATCATAGCGTCCCCTTAGCAGTTGCGCCTATGTACCCAGAGGACCACCGCAGATACCTGCATAATCAGTGTAATACTGTAGCATGAGTACGTAAATCAACGCGTACCCTCTAAGTATCTAGCCTAACCTCGAAGAAGTAGTAATGAGGGATTGACATTGACACTTACTAAATGTCCAATAGATCCAATATAATAAAAATAAACAGGTATGAAACATGATAAGTAAATAGTAAAATAGATATTGGTACGTAATATGATCCTTAACTGAATAGTAAACACAAGGTATTCAAATATTGAATACTACCTCAAATGGAATACTTAATGGTCAATACTGGATAACATATCATGTCTCAACTTAGGAAAACTTATGGGTGCAATAATTTCTTATCAAATATTACGCACGATTCTGCCGAGGCGAGCGGCCCGATCCCATAAGAGTGTTTCATAAAACTATTGAGACGAACGACTCGATCCCATAAGAGTGTATTATTCTTCCTAGGCGAATGACCCGATCCCAAAAAGTATGATACATCCTGCTGAGGCGAATGGCTCAATCCTATAAGAATTTGATACAGATACTGCCAAGACGAACGGACCATTCACATAAAAGTACTACTGAGGCGTCCAGCCCAATCCCATTAGAAAATAAAGCTTTCACATGTCGTTGAACTCACTCACAAATGCACGTGTGAGATATGAAATTTAGGATAATGTCACGACCCAAAATCCACTAGTCGTGATGGCACCAAACCCAACCCACTAGGTAAGCCAATAATAAATTATCTAGTTTTATTTAACTTAATAAAACAATTAAACAAGAGAATTATCTAAATCTTATACATTTCCCAAGGACTGGTAGTACAAATTATGAGTTTCTACGAATAGAATTTACAAAGCAACAATGGAACAATTACACTATCTGTTTGAAAAGTACATAAACGGAATTTTATAGTCTAAGGTTACCGTGAACAAGAGGCAGCTATAGTAGGAATGCAGGTATGCCTTAAAATCCAGCAACCATCGAACCTAGCAACATCAGCATCCGAGATCTGCACGCACTGTGTAGGAAGTACAGTATGTGTACAACCGACCCCATGTACTCAAAAAGTAACAAACCTAACCTCAGGTTGAAAGCAGTGACAAGCTAACACAGGATCGAGTCCAAAGCCAATATTTCCACAACAGTTCATAACAACATAAATGCAAGTGTAAAAGAGATATCTCAAAAGTAAAATACTCAGCTCGTTCACAGTTCCAGAAAATGGTCATACTTTTCAAATAACTTAGTGAAAGAAAATCCCAAATCTCTTACCGAAAATGCCAAAAGTACGAGTAGGTTTGAAAACTGTAGTTTTTCAAATATCCTTTCTACAATAAAATAAAATATTTCATTTTCTTTCTAAATAACTAGTATAAAGTTCCTCTCCATACCCACATATCAATGTATATAATAAGTCATGAATGACGTGGTACTATATAGCATGAGGAAGAATGCATCTCTATGTCATGCATGCATGTGAATGCCATGTATCTCAGAGATGATACATGCACTCACACTCTCAAAGTGCTCAATCTCATTACCTTGCATCCTCTCTCACTAAGCTCAATACTCAGCACATTAAATCACTCGGCGCTGTATAATAACTGTTGCGGCGTGCAGCCCGATCTATATATATATAGTCAACTGCGCTCACTGGGGTTGTACAGACTCCGGAGGGGATCCTACAGCCCAAGAGCTATATCACTACGTTGTGCATGTCACGCCCCAATACTCGGGGAGCACGACCAGTGCACAACCAAGTGAACCCGGTCGAGCAAGCCTATCCAGCCTTTCCTACCCGACTCATTCAAAATACGAAGAAGTAATGCATCACCAATTATTAAACACGGGAGAGAGAGTTGTTATATAAATGCATACACGTTACTAGTTAAATTTTCACTTAAATACAACATGCCATAGTTAAGTTTCCAAAAGTATATATAGTTGACAAACTTGTGAAGAAAAGTTTCAAAATACAACATCATCTAACGATCAAGACCACCCCATAACCCATACATGACCCACATAAACGTTTACAGAGCCTCTTAGGATACAAAAGACCAATATGACAATGTCGGCAACAAGGCCCCATCTATACCTCAAAATATGGAAATTCGTACAACAGAAGAACTACAAAACCCCTGGGAGAAATGGGGGCTCACCAAGACTGCTGTGAAGAGAGAAAAAGAGAGCACCACTATCTACGATTGGCGCTATCAGCAACGGAACCACCTACATCAATTCAAAGATGTAGCGCCCCCGGCAATAGGGACGTTAGCACTGTCGAATAGTACTAGTATGTAAGGCAAACACAATTCTTAATAGGATGAACAGTGAACATATGGAAGGAAAATATAACATCAACAAGTACTTCACAAGATTACAAGGAAACACAAAATAAGGTTCACATTGTTCTGGTTAAGCATTTCCATTTCTTTAGGTTAATAATCTTTAGTGCCAAGTGCCAAAACACATAATGCCACCATGATTTTACACGGAGTTCGGTCTCGGCCTGACCGGCTAAGCCATTCCAAGTGAGACATATCCAAATCCACAATGATAATCAGAAATCCAATGTAAATGCCACCATGTGTACAGCATGGCATCCAATCTCGGCCCGATCGGCTAAGCCATATCACTTGGGACATACCCTCTTTCAGTTATTCCTTAGTTCACATTTCTTTCCATTTTTCCATTACATGGCACAACACAACTCTTTTATTAATTAATTCTTGGCACTTGGATACATTTTTATAATTCAAGTCTTCCCCTTATTTATTCCTTCATATAGCTTCATCGTCCATGTCGATAAGGGTTATCATATAAGGCATGCACATATAAAGAAAGAAAAGAACACTTGGAGAACATAATCACATTTTCAACTACCATGATTTTAGGGTAAACACAGAGAACAATTTTGGAATAGAAATCTGTCAACCCAACACATTAATTCAGTCCATCTAGTATGATCAATCCGAAACTCATGCCAACTATTCGGTCACCAAGAGTTCAACATTTAGAAGAAGAGGGTTAGCCATACATACCTCAATAGAGCTTTTCTTAAATTCTTACGATAACTCCGGAACTCTAGCCACTTCGATCTATTTTATGAGAATTGCAAGTTGAATCAAAAATTAGAAAGATAATCAAGATTCTAGCTCACTTGAGCATACTCTCAAGCACTAAGTGTGCATTACGAATTTTAAGGTCTTTTTGTGAAAAATTCTATCATCCTACACCCCATTTGTTACATTCTTAGTTCACAATCTCTCCATATACATGAACGCAAGACAATCAACCCTTATACTCATGAACCTATTTGTTAATTACTTATTTTGGTAGGAATTTCGAAATCAAAGGTTAGAGCACAAGTTCTTACTTCTTAGGATGAAGGCCTAGTAACTTTTCTTGATAATCTTCAAGGATTTGGGAAAGGATTGAGTAGAGGCTTGGTGAGGATCACTTTCTCCCTCTAGAACTCTTGATCTCACTCTAAATAAAGTAGAAATTATCTCAAGAGGGTCTAATGGGGTGTTTTTAACGGAATGGGGTCGGGTTTTAAATGTTAGAAAATAGGAGCCCCGACTCAATCTGCGGTCATATATGCGACCGCATAATTGATATGCGGCTCGCAAAAAGGATAGCAAAAATGGCCCTAAGACCTGGATACTCTACCCGGGTATGCGACCAATATGCGGTCTACATACTTGTTTTGCGGTCGCATAGTGCACCGCAGAACTGCCCTATGCAAAATTCCCAAGCAGGTTATGCGATGACTATGCGGCCCACATATCGGTTATGTGATCGCATAATTAGGCGCATAGTTGTCCTCAAATTGGCCAACATACTGACTCATTTTGCGGCAGATATGTGGCCCGCATTGTTATTAAACGGTCGCATAATGGGCCGCAGACTTGCGCTCCTCTGAAAAATATTTTTCCTTAAGTTTTTTATGCACAGATCAATCTAAAATATCACTACAAGATTTCGAGTTTTTGGGTAAAAATTTCACGGGGCCTTACAGTGTAGCCCGACCCAATATCACTGCGGCGTGCAGCCCGATCCATATATTGATGTGACGTGCAGTCTGATCCATATATCGCTGCAGCATGCAGCCCAATCCATATATCGCTGTGGCATGCAGCCCGATCCATATATATATTTATATCCTCACAATCAGGCCCTCGGCCTCACTCAATCAGCACTCTCTTCAGTCTCGCTCACGGGCTTAAAATGTCATGAAAGTAGCACGACAATAATGATATGATGCATCAACAACAACAGCTGAGACTGAGATACGATATGAATGCATGAATATGACTGAGTATAAAATATCAATGGAAATTAGTGAGATGACAACAAGAAATAACTAATATGGGTACAAACAATATCAACATAAAGCCTAAACATGATATTTAACATGATTGACAGCTCAATTACTTTATCACATGATGAAAATACAAATATCACAAAATAGGGCCACTATACACAGTACCAGAAAATGGGCCTATGGTAGCAGTTATTTTAGCAGTGGTTCAACAACCATCGCCATAGAACCTATATGGTAACGGTTACAACCGTTACAGTAGCCTTTAGGTGATATTAGCACACTTTAAATATAGAACCATTGCAATTATAAAACAACCGTTGCCATAGATGCATCTGGCGCAACGGTTATATGAACCGTCCCAATAAACTATCTACGGGAATGCTTTTACTGTAAAAAATTTTATTGGAACGGTTATTTTTTCCCTTCTTACTTTCCCTCGTGAATTTTATTACACCCGCCAACAACCCCTATTCATTTTATTTTTTAATAATTTTAATAATCTAAATATTAAATAAAAAAAATTTTTGGCACTTTCCCAATTAACTGTGATACCCCTAATGCTAGCCGATACCCCCAATTTAAAAATACTAAGCCATCTTCTTCTTCTTCACTAATACCCGACCCCATCTCTCTCTCCAAAACTCTTCTTCTTCTTCACTGATACACTACTAAAAACTCTGATACCCCTATATCTTTCTCTCTCTGATGCCCTGAAAAACCCTTAATTCTCTCCATAATCATTTACAAACTAAGGAGAAACAATTCGGAGACCCAAAAATACGGAGGTAATAATATTTTGTTTGCTCTCTTTGCACTTTCTGGCTCTTATTCGAGAAATCTGGCCTTATTCTTTAGTTCAAACGAAATAAATTTGGTATTATATATCATGTTTTAGATCTATATAAATTCGTTCTATAATCCTTTATAGTCGTACAATCAACTTATTTCCCAATCGAAATATTGATAAAACCATCTGTACATAAATTTCCTGTAATATACACAACAATAGTTTTATAACTCTACTAGAAATTATAGTCACCATTTTGTCATTTTTACAAAAGTCATCACCAAGAGTGGGTTAGTCAGGTTGACATCCGTCTTTACACTTCAGATATACTAGTGTCAATGGCTAAAGTTTTTGACTCTTTGTTATCTTGAATAACAATATAGGCATGCTTCTTTGTATGCTTTATTTTAGAACATTTATCCTATGAAAGAATATTCAAATTAGTTTAAACAGTTTTGATAGTTTAAATTTTTTTCTTTCTTTTCCTTCCTTGTTAACTTTTTTGACAGGAGCTCTCTAGTACAAGGACCTTACTTGCAGACGCATCTGATGCTACACCAATTTCTTCCCCATTGACACTGCTTCTAACATCAAATACTGGAAATAAAGATGCTGAGAAAGTAACTTCTAAACCATCAACAGTTCAAGCAATTTTGAAGGGGATAAAACAGGTATGAAATGCCACAACCTTTCTAATTTACCGCACACCATAGCAGAATTTGCATGATGAGTATCAATTTGGTGAGTAGATGTGGTTACTTATAGCCTTGTTATTCGTATTAACTAATCTCCTAGCAATTTTCCTTATTTTTTCTCCCTAGAATTGATGTCCCAGCTTAATGGTTTATTAAATGATTATTTACATATAAATGGAAGTTACTCTCTGCCTCTATATTTTAGACTGATAATTGATAAAGTCTTTTGGAATATTGCCAAGATTTTATGTGAATTTGGAGGTAAAGCCTGCTGATTTAGCAATATGACAGTGAGTTCTACTTTATACCCTGCAATTTATGAGCACAAAGAAAAATTTAGAATTTTGGATTCTCTATTCAATTGTTCGACTGATTCTTGATTCAATATTTTTGGTATTGGGAGGACAGTGTGATGAAAAATGCAAATTTAAATTGCTTGTTATTTGCACCAGAATTCTGTCTATTTGCTCCTATGTTATTTGCAGAAAATTTGCAGTTTGAGTTACGTTTTGGGTCAGAATATGCACTATTTGAGTGTAATATATGCACTGTTTTGCAAAATTTCAGTTGTGATCGGTAGTGGTTTAAACTCCTTTGAGTCTAATTAGTTTGTTTTTATATCTAAGGCAAGATTATTTCTTGTTTTATTTGCTCGAATGCTCTCCAAGTAATCCCTTTATGATGTCAATTTTTGTTTTTTTGCATGCTACTTCTTGTTGAACTATAGAACCTTCTTTGGTGGTATAGATATTATTAGCTGAAAGAAAGTTGAGATAAAGTTTATTTCTAGTAGCCGAGGAGAAATCATTGCTGGTAACTTAGGGAACACTCGTTGCTGGTAAGTTATCTTAATTTAAATTTTTGGTAATTGGATTTGCTGGTAGTGTATTTGTGTATTTTGCTTATTTATCTTGTTATGTATGTTACACAAAATTAGTTTATATTGTTATCTTGGGGTTTAATTAATGATGCCTTGAGTTAAGTTACAACATGCTGCTGAAGTGTAATTTTTTAGAACTGAATGCATGGGTTGAGTGCGGCTCTAAATTAAAGTACTACAAATGACAGAATAGGCATGCATTGTTATTTAATATTGTTCTGTAATTTTTTGTTGCAAGAATACAAAAAAGTCAACCTATTTCTTAGAGTTACCCAACTAGCTAGATTTTATTATGTCAGCATGCAGAAAACTCATAAAAATATACAAATGCACTATGTTAAAATTGATTATCTATGTTAAAATTAAAAATAAATATCCCACTTCTCTTTAGTTGCTCCTCCTTCTAAGTTTTCACCTTTAAAAGCGTTGGTCAATAACTTATTATAGGTAGGTTTATTTGGTTAATTTTGTTGATTTAATTTTATCGTATAGGATTTCAATGGATAATGGAGATAAAAGTTGGATGTATCTCCTAAGATGGACGAATGAGTATATCCGTAGAGTGCACAATATTATTGATAAGGCATTTGAACGAGCTTCCCAGGGAAATAAAATATTATTCCCTTGCAAAAAGTGTATTAATCGCTATTGGCACTATAGAAATATGGTGGAGGATCACTTGGTTGTTAATGGTTTTGTTGATGGTTACACCAAATGGGTTTTTCATGGGGAAGGGTTTTCCTCTAGAAATGCACCTCACCAAAGCAATAATGATGAAGGTTCTAACATACGTGATGATATTGATAGAATACTTCATGATACCTTTAGAAATGTAGAAGGTGAGGCAGAGCAGGAAGAACCGATGAGAGAGACTCTATCTGAAGATGCTAAGAGATTTTTCAGATTATTAGAGGAAGGCAAACAAGAATTATATCTTGGGTGTGAAACCTTCACTAAATTTAGTTTTACTATTCGGTTGTACGTGTTTAAATCCTTGCATGGATTGAGTAATGTGGTCTTTTCAGATATGCTAGAGTTGTTAAAAGAGGCATTTCCCTTTGCGCAGTTGCCAGAATCTTTCAACAAGGCTAGAAACATGATAAAAGATTTGGGTCTTCATTATGAAAAAATACATGCATGCCCTAATGATTTCATGTTATTTTGGAAAGACAATGCAAAGGCCAATAATTGCTTTGTTTGTGGGGCTTCTCGATGGAAAGTTGTTGATGCTTCCTTGACTAATACAAGCTCAAAAATCCCAGTAAAGGTTTTAAGGTATTTTCCCTTAAAGCCTAGGCTTTAGAGGATATTCATGTGTCCCAAAGTAGCCATTGCAATGAGATGGCATGCTAATGAACGACCCAATGATGGGAATATGAGGCATCCTGCTAATGGAGAAGCTTGGAAGAATTTTGATTCTCTACAGTCAGACTTCTCCAGAGATCCACGTAATGTTAGGTTGGGTCTTTCAAGTGATGGTTTCAAACCATTTCGAACCATGAGCATTTCTCATAGCACGTGGCCTGTCATGTTAATGAACTATAATTTATCATCATGGATTTGCATGAAGCCAGGATATATCATGTTGTCAATGATCATTCCAGGTCCTTCATCTCTAGGAAATGATATAGATATGTTGTCAATGATGCTGAGACAAAGCAAACATTCCAAATGCGTGCAGCCTTATTGTGGACAGTTTGAGATTTTGCAGCGTTAGCAATGCTTTCAGGATGGAGCACCAAGGGTATACTGGCATGCCCCACTTGTAATTACGACACATGCTCACTATATCTCAAACATAGTCATAAGATGGGTTACTTGGGTCATCGAAGATTTTTGCCTCTTGATCATCCATCGAGAAAAGAAAAGAAGTCATTTGATGGTAATGAGGATCATAGACATACACCTACTCCTTTGTCGGGTGTGGAAGTGTTTAAAGAGCTCCATGAATTCAACAATGTCTTTGGAAAGGGAAAAAAGAAAAGACCTCGGGATAACAAGGGTCCGTGGAAAAAAAGATCTATTTTTTTTTTGAATTGCCATATTGGGCGCATAATAAATTGAGGCACAATCTTGATGTGATATACATCGAGAAAAACATATGTGACAGTTTACTTGGGTCTTTATTGGAAATAGAAAAAAAGTCAAAGGATTATGTAAATTCTCGCTATGACTTATAAGAAATGGGGATACGAAATAAGCTACAACCAAGAAAAGATGATGATGGTAGTGTGAGTTTTGCTAAAGCTTGTTTCTACATGAAACCAGAAAAGAAAAATTTGTTTTGCACCGTTATAAAAAATGCCAAGTTACCAAAAGGGTGTGCTTCGAATATTTCAAATCGCGTGAAAGTGAAGGAGATGAAAATATCAAGGTACAAGAGTCATGATGCTCATTTTATAATGCATAACTTGCTCCAGGTTGCTGTTAGAAAGGCATTGCCCAAGAACGTCTCGTTGGCCTTGATTAGATTGGGCAATTTCTTTAGAGCCATATGTAGTAAGGTCATAAGGCAAAGAGATCTTGAAAAAATGCAGTCTGAAATTGTTGAGATAACTTGTGAGCTTTAAAAGATTTTTCATCCAATATTTTGTGACATAATGCCACATTTGCCTATTCATTTGGTGAATGAAATTAAGCTTGAGGGTCCGGCTCATCTTCGTTGGATGTATTCCATTGAGAGGAACCTATGTAAATACAAGGCATTTGTTTGTAATCGATCTTGTCCAGAAGCATCAATAGCAGAGGGATTTTTGGCGGAAGAGTGCTTGAATTTTTGTTCGAGATACCTACATGATGGCGTTAAGACAAGATTCAGTAGATACACAACTGTGGATGATGAGTGCCCTCAAAATTTGTCACCTATATTCCCTATGATAGGAAGCCCAATTGGAAGTAAGAAGAAAAATACTTTTCTCATGGATCCACAGTTATTTTATGAAGCCCATCAGTATGCTCTGTTCAATACTGGAGATGATCAAGTGGAAAAGTTTATCGAGTAAGATAAGTACAGACGTCTCTGTACCGATCAATGAGACTCTAATAAACCGGCTTGTGATCCATGACTGCTATGAACCTAGAGCTCAGATATTAACTTGTCACGACCCCGGTTCGCCCTCGGTGAACCATCGTGATGGCACCTAGTCTCTACGACTAGGTAAGCCTAATTTGCGGAGGAAAAACAAAAATTTGCGAAAGTTAAACAATTTAAAACAGAAATAACGTAGTAACAATGTTTAAATGTGCCGCTCGGCTCGCACCATGTTTAACTCTCAATACCAATAAATAAATCCAAAACCCTAAAACCCACGAATCACAAGCTAAGATCAATACTACATAGCTATAACTTCGGAATGTCTAATAAGAACAAAAAAAAGGCTAAATACTAAAAGCAGGAATAGAAAGGGACTTCTCGGTCTACGGATGCGACATATGTACCTTGAAGTCTCTAGAGCAGTTTCCTCCTCAAGAATGATAGGCCTGAGTAGCGATACCTGGATCTGCACATGAAAAATATGCGTAGAAGAGGCATGAGTACACCACAGTGGTACTCAGTAAGTGCCAAGCCTAACCTCGGTTGGGTAGAGACGAGGAAGGTCAAGGCCCTACTGAGATTAAATAAATATAAAGATGATAGGATAAGATAAGCAGTACAATTGAGAATCTACAACAAGAATCTACACAGGATAATAAGAGTACAATAACGGAAACAGAGATGAAGGTAAACCACAAGGAAGTATCACTCATAACAAGGATGATAACCGAGGATCTCTTAGTATCCCGAGGATCTCTTGGTATAACCAATATATGCTAGGGATCTCTTGGTATCTCGATGATCTCTTGGTATCCTCAATATATGATTGGGATCTCTTGGTATCTCAAGGATCTCTTGGTATCCTTAATATATGCTAGGGATCCGTCAGTATATCGAGGATCTCTTGGTATCCTCAATATATGCTAGGGATCTATTGGTATCCTGAGGATCTCTTGGTATCCTCAATATACGTGTCAGGGATCTCTTGGTATCCTGCACCTCAGTTCAAATCATAAATACGTACAGGGGATCTCCCAGGATGCTGTCCCGTAGTCCTAAAGTAAAAACACACAGCAGCAACGCAAGAATACCCAATTAAGCTAAATATCGCACCAAGTAAACAATTAATTCTAGCCTAACATGCTTTGCGTAAAGCAATTAAGGCAGTTTAAGCAAATAGGCAATTAAGTCAACTAAACATGCTTTTCTAAACTAGCAACTGGCTAAATTCACAAGTATAATAAAACAAGCAAAAGAACTCAATTGAAATACTTAAGGAAAAACCGGATTTCAACAATTAGCTCAAGTACGTACTCGTCATCTCATGTACAAGGCATTTCAATTATCAAATATATTATATCCTAAGGGGAAGGTCCCCCACACAAGGTTAGACAAGCCACTTATCTCGAACACGCTCAAAAATCAACTGAAACCACGCTCTTGCCACGAGTACTCGACTCCACATGGCCCAAATCTATTCACAAGTAACTGATTCTACAATTAGGTTCTAAGCTAATACGCGAAATTATATAAAATGACCAAAACGCCCCACGGGCCCACGTCTCGGAATCGGGTAAAATTAATATTTTCATTATCCTCACGCTCTCACGGGTTCATGCATACCAAAATTATCCAAATCTAAGGTTAAATTCCCAACAAAAAGTCGAATTCTATATCTAAGAACTTTCTTGCAATTTTATTTCCAATTTTCATCTTTAATCCGAAATTAAATGATGAAACTAGTTATAGATTGATGGAATATAACTAGAAAGGGTTAAAGAATCGTTATCCAATGATCTCCTCTCCAATTTCCTCTCAAAATCGCCCTCTCCTGAGCTCCAAATCAAATTTCTAACTTTTGAAACTAAACCCTCAAAATTTCATATTTCTGCCCAGTGTTTTCCGCATCTGCGGTCCCACTTCTGCGGAACTAATGTCGCATTTGCGACTTTTCACTTAAGGGCCAATTTCGACATCTGCAACTCGCAATCTGCAGATGCGGTACCGCTTTTGCGGAAATACCACCACTTCTGCGGTTCCTAAAGAAGTCCTCGATTTTCGCTTCTGCGGCCACTGAGCCGCACTTGTGGAACCCAAACTACTGGTGTGGTTATGACAGAACCAGCAGTTGAAGCTGCAACTTAAATTCAAAAAACTTTCCGTCAATCATCCGAATTTATCCCGAGACATCCGAGACCTCCAACAAGTCACAAACAATTATCCAAACTTGTACCAATCCTTAGAACACCTAAAACAACATCGGAACCTCGAATTAACCTTGGATTCAAACCTAAGAACTCCAAAATTCTCAAAATACGCTTTCGATCCAAAATTCTATCAAACCTCGTCCGAATGACCTAAAATGTTGCACACACGTCACATTCAACACTACAGAGCTAGTTCAACTTTCGGAATTCCATTCTGACCCTCAGATCAAAATCTCACTATAGGACCGGAAACTTCAAAAATTCAACTTTTGGCATTCCAAGCCTAAATTAGCTACGGACCTCCAAAACACAATCCGATCACGCCCCTAAGCCAAAAATCACCCATCGGAGCTAACAGAACTATCAAATTTCCATTCCGAGGCCGTCTTCACGTTGTTCCAACTATGGTCAACTTTCCAACACTTAAGCTCTCATTTAAGGACTAAGTGTCCCAAAACTCTCCGAAACTCGACACCGAATATTCCGACAAATCAAAATAGCAGAATTAATCTTGGGGAAAGTAGTTAATAGGGGATCAGGGCATTAATTCTTAAGACGATCGGCCGGGTCGTCACAAAAATATTGAAGAACCCTATTATTTAAGATGGCTAGCTAAAGGTCCTAGTGCGATCCCCAAAAGATATACTGCATATTTTATTAATGGATACCGATTTCATACCATAGAATAGGATTCCCAATGCAAGACTCAAAATAGTGGAGTGACTTTATCGGCAACAACTGATAGCTTTGCGAGCTCTAGGGACCAAAATCCCATCGATGGTGAGGTTATATATTATGGAGTTAGTCAAGATATCATTGAGATTGATTATTGGGGTTGTTTTAGCATTGTACTATTTAGATGTGATTGGTTTTATAACGAAATAAATGAATATGGGTTAACTCGTGTATACTTTAACACATTATGTAGTATAGATGACCCTTTTGTGTTGGCATCACAAGTTTATCAAGTTTTTTATGAGGAGGATCCAGTTGAGAAAGAAGTTTATTATGCAAAGAATAAAGTCCCTGTTGATTTGTATGATTTAGAGGAAGAGAATTTCCCTAATATTGAAGATGCATTTTGGAGAGATCCTAATGATGACATTGGTTCCTTAAGTGGATTAGTTGATGCTGACGTTAGATGGTCTAGAGACGACGTACCCATTGATGTCGTTGATATTCCATCTAATGCACAACATTCAAATGATACAATTATAGAAACATCGAAAGAGGAGGATGAGTTTAATGATACTAATTGGGACTGGATGGAATCAGATGATTAAAGAGGGAAATTTTGAAATTATTTTAAATATATTATGGTTTGAGTGAGTGATAATATTTTTTACCAATATTTTATAATTACTCTTGTTTCTAATAATGCTCTTTTTAATATATTTTTATTTGTTTTTACCTTTAGCATTTTATTCTGATGCTTCAATTTTGCAGGATTTTTGGATTTGGATCTTATGATATTGTTGCACTTGTTGATAGCAACTGGTCGAGGCTTGAATTGATAGATAACTGAGGTACTGATAACATTTATAACACTTGTCGTGTTACATTCTTATCGTGCTATAATACTTGTAATTTGAGATCAGTATTCAAGTATTTTCTCTCAAATTCCTCAAACTAAAGCATTTTAATGATCCAATTTAGTAAAGATCTCTGTCCATTTTATAGCCACTCTCTGAATTTTGCACATTTGATTGCCAAATTGGCCCATCAAAGTGTACTGCTCAATACTTGTATATTCCAATTCCATTGCATGTTATAGCCTCCTGCATATATGCAGTTTCCATTCCATTGATGTTTCTAATCAAGGTGTAGAAAAGTGGCTATTTGCTGCATCCAGCACTGTCCAACATGTTTATTGTCTATGACTGATACTTGAGTATTATTAACACTAGTATTCCCAATTCCTTTTTTCTGGGACCGTATGGGGACCCGTTAATACCATTTCTCAAATGGGGCTTGAGCTTGGCTTCCTTTTCTTGCCCAAGTATTTGATATTTATGTACGGCCATGGACAATCCACCCCGATGCATGCACAAAGAATGCAAAAAAGGGATTTTTGCCTCACTTTGTCTGTTGCTTCCTATCACACATGCTCCTTTTAGCTGTTGCAGCATAGCAAGAGCATATGATTTGAGCCGAGATAACATGCTCATGTGAGTATGTTTCGCCCATTTCTCTCATACTCTTCTTAATGAACATTTTCTAATGAGCAAAAACAGTGTTATATATCACGGTTAAATCAACAGATACTTTTTTTTACTCTTCTATGGAGGGAATGAGGGAGGGAGGGAGGGGAAAATATAAAATTGTTCCGCCACAGCGAATAGAAGTGAATCCAATACCTCGATTTCAGAATCTAAAGATTGTTCAACCACAGATTTCAGAAAAATATAAGATTGTTTAGCCATAGCGAATAAAAGTGAGTATCAGTATGAAACCTTTCTATGTAACAAACAAAGATTTCTCAGAAGATAATAGTCAGTACTTTGGCTCTTGTTGTGGGGTTTGAGAACCAGCTGAGTAGGAATGTCAACAATCTCGGTCTTGTGATCTTAGCTCTTTACTAATAAACAGACTCACATTTTCACCCACTTTGTTGGTGCTTATTAGTAAACATTTCCTACTTTACTAATAAGCACCAAGAAATCAAGTCTTGTGATCTTAGCTCTTTGACACTTCATATAACAGACCTCATCTGGTCTCTCTTTTTTTCTAAATATGTGTTTTTATGGTGTTTATTCTTGTGTGCAATGTAAGCTTGGTGGTTATAGTTGTGCTTTACCTGATTCTAAAATTACACCAAGCAATCATACCAAGTGAAGCAAAGATTTTAATGATTCATTTATTCTCATGAAAAAAAAAGTAGCGACTCATATCATTTTATTGGCTCAACATCTCATTTATTAGAGGCCACAGAGTTCACTATGTGTTGTTAGGTACCCTGAACTTAGGTACAGCGTACGTTGGACACTTCTCCGCGCTTAGGTGGCAGTTCAATGTTGGCACCAAAGCACTAACATGTGCACCTTAGTGTCCATGGGTTCTGAGGAGAGTAACAATAGTTTAGCTGACAATGTGTTATATAATGTTATGTTATTGATTCAGAATATGAAAATAGAAATTTATCAGTAACTAAATCTGAATAAAATTGTAAAAGTTGTATTTTGATATCTGAGTCAAACATTTAAATTAGCCTCTTGAACCTGTTTGACATGACTCTTATTTTATATATTTTTAATTAAGTTTTATCAATCCGTTTATCCATATAATTGTTGTTTGTTTTTATAGTTATAGTTTTTTACAACATTTATCTTTTATTTTTTCTTCATTTGTGCCTATTTTTTAAAAATAAACTTTCTTTAAATCTGTTTTGTGCTTAAAGCCCCCAGATCTAGCGATCCTCGATACTTTTCGTCTTTGACTAGCTGGTTTCACTGAAGTTGAGTAAGTTCAAGCTAAATTTTTTGTGCCAAAAATAAATTTCTTTTCAAGTTTCAAGAGGTAGGAAAGGGATGTCCAAAATTTAGTGCTTAGTAGATGCAATATAGATATATGTTCCATTATGATGCCATCAAGTGATTTTCTAGAGAGATTCTTTATTTTAAAGAGAAAACTATAAACTTGTATCACTCAAAGGAAGGTTTAGTACATCTTTATGGCTCCAGATGTTACTTTTTATTCTTTTCTTTCTTTCAGAATCTAAAGATTGTTCAAAAAATATATGATTGTTTAGCCACAGGGTTTACCATGACTCTTGTACCTACTGTTTGTATCTTAGCAGTATGAAGTTACTCAATTGATTCTATTGTTTGTGTTCAAATACTTCTTGGCTCTCATATGTATCTAATTTTGAACAGAGGAAAATAGATCATGAATCAGGAAGGGTGCTCAAGTACAAATAAAAAATTAACAAAATGCATTGCAGCTGGACTCTACACCTTCTGCATCATAAGTAGTGCGCGAACAATTGCAACATTCTACTTCTACAGGTGGATCGCTGCCTCTGCATTATACTTCTGCACCAGCACAAATAGTACATGAGCAAGTGCAATAAATTCCACTGAACTCTGCCTCTCTTGCATCACAAGCAGTACGTAAACAATTGCAACAACTACCACTGGATTCCACCACTCGTACTTCACAAACGGTACAAGAACAAGTTGAGGATTCTTCCAATCATGAAACAAACGAGCAATCCGAGGAACAAAGCAAGAACATATAGATTTTAATCGTTAAATTCAATAATGTAATGACTTTTGGTGATTATTCTTACTTCATATTAATGTAGGTCCTTCTACTGAAAAACGAAAAAGAGGAAAAACTCGGATGCAAAGTGTTCATGGTAGGAAAGAGCGAAAGCAAATTGTGCTAAATGAGAACAATAAACCCATAGGTCCTAGTGATGATGATGTAAATAAGTTGGGTAGCTTCCTTGGTACATTGGCAAGGAATGCGACCTTTTGTCCTCTTAATGTGTTTGATTGGAGGAAACTTGAGACAAAAGAAGATATGTTGAAATATGTCAAGGTTTGAAATTCGTAATATTCAATAGGTGTGTGTGGATATTTCATATTGTTTACACCAACCTAACTGCTCTAAATTTATAGGGAAAATATGACATTCATGAAGGTGCAAAAAAGTGGGGTTTTCAATCAATTTCAAATGTTGGAGAAAGTACAAAAACCAGTTATATAAAGACTATTTTGAACCCTATGAGAATGACGAGCTTCGAATGGAGAATAGACCGGTTGATGTTCCGGATTCTCAATTTAGGAAACTTCTTAGATATTGGAACTCTGATAACTACAAGGTAAAACAGAATATTGTTCCATGATTTGCTTAAAATGTCTGATTTTTGTTTATTTAGAAAGCATGCTCTTAGGCGAGAACGAAATGGAATGAATAGTTTGCAATTCATTACACATTTACATGTTGTAGATGTTTCTGTGTTCAGAAAGGGCAGTTATAACTTGGTGTTCAGAATTCCAGCTTTCTCTTTCTCTACTTGTTATCATTTTAAAATGTTATTCTACTGCATTTTAGCTGACTGGATAAAACAAAGTGGAGTAAATCGTTTCAGGTTTCAATACTTCAGAACTACTGCATGCAAAACACTATTACACAAGTTTTAATGGAAGTCGTTGAGATGCTAAATTTCTGTAGATAGTTGTCTGAAGTAACTTGCATATAAGTATCACTTGACTAGTAATACAGTGTATTTATCTCTAGATTGTAATTTGCACTTTAATTAAGAACCAAATGTACAATTTTTGAATTCTCTAAGACTGACATACAAAGAGTCAGTATGGTGGTTTTTCAAATATAGAACATGTTATCAACTGCTACTTTAATGGGAACGACAAGCAAATGATCTTTTTGAGCAAGATAAATTAATGGAACTAGGGGGAGAGTAATCACTAAGAACCAAGGAGGATCACTTTGATCTTTTAGCCCAAGTGTAATTTGGCTTCCCCTCTGCACGTCTCTATACTGTTTATTTTACCAACAGAAAAAGTACAACCAAAGTGTTAAATCCTTGGTTGATCTGGTATAAATTCCGTTAAGAGAATAAAACATTGCAAACTATTCATTCCATTAGGTTGTGCTTATTCATGCTTATTCATTTATGACTAGAGAACGAAATGTTCGTTTACACTTGACTCTACTCTTTATATGTGTCTGAGGGAGAAACCAGCTAGCCATAACTGAAGTATATTGTATTTTTAAAAGAAATTGCATGACATTTCTTGATAGAAGAGTTGAAAATCCCACCTTTCTATTTTCTTTTCCCCAGGTATACTCTGATTGTTTGCTTTTTGTCTCTTTGAATATGTTGATTTATGTGAGTGATTCTCTGGTAATTGGTTTTGGTTTCAAACAGACAACAATAAAAAGGAAATTAAAAGATAAATATGGGATATATAACTATTCTAGTCTGGAGTCTGTTAGTACCAAAGTTCTGATTTTATTCATCAGCCAAAAGAATTGGTTACTATATTGTATTCAAGAAAGGGAAATATCATTTATTCACTGTCAATGTTTCTTTTTTGTTGCAGAAAATGAAAGAAACCAACACTAAGAATCGCAAAAAGTTGAGATAACTACACACTGCTGGCAAAAAACATTTTGCTAGAATATGCGAGGTTTGATATTTTTTTTCTTATTATTCTTTTAAATATGAATTTGCTAGACATAATCTGAACTATTTTATACCACTTTTTATGTAACCAGAAAAAAAGAAAGAAACTTCTGAACCTCTATGAAGTAAGGACATATTTGTGGCTACAAGAAAAAGAAAGCCCGATCGAGTATAAAGGCCTCGTATGCTGATACTCTTAATAAAATTATACGAGTTACTAATTTAAAGTTTGTTGATATCATTTATCTGTTATTAGTTATTGACTCAATTTTATATACTTTCCACTCTAAAATTAGCTCAATTTGGTCTTGTAGGCTGAAATGGATAGAATACAATCAACACAAGAAACTGAAGATGGCAGTCAACCAGTTGACATGTTTGCGTCCGTCATGGGACCTGAGCATCTAGGACGCCTAAGATTGTACGGACGCGAGGTTACCAAGACTTCCTTAAAAAGAAAAGTGGAAGATATTAGAACCTCTTTATGTTCTACCGATGAGATGCTACAACAAAAAATGGTGGAAATAAAATAAAGGATGCAACAAAGAATGCAGGAAAAGTTCAATGCATAAAAAGATGCCATGGAACTACAAGTTGCAGTTAACATCATTTCACAACTTAAGCATTTGAATCCAGATTTACAGGTTGATCCCAGCATGCTAGCTTTCAATGCTCGTTCACCTGGAGATGCTTCCTCTGCACAACAAGCTACTGAGCAACTAATCATTCGTCTATCTACTAGGAATAATAATCGAGGTCAGTACGTACTCTTCTTCTCTTCCTCCTCCTCATCCTCCTCCTCCTCCTCCTTCTTCTTCTCCTCCTCCTTCTGTTGCTTTTCTGCTGCCACTGCTCTCTCTGATAAGGCATAATGACTGTTTGATGGGAAATATTTTGGTAGTAGAGCTGGAAATATTTTTGATAGGCAGTAGAGCACAAATTGGTGTGCTCACGTGAAAGTAGAGCACAATTTTATATGCTTCTGATTGGTGCTCCAATCACAAATAAAACAAAAGCCTCCTGCTTAAAGTTCCCCTCCGAATAAAAAATAAGAAATCCTACACTGTACCTTGGTATCTTAATAAACAACAAAAATTAAATTCATGTGAGGAGCATAGCCTCCTTTTAAAATCTGATGCAAAGGAGTATATGTTCTAGCAACAATAGTCTGGCACAAGATAAAATCTTTTCAATGCCTTTTTTTCTTTTGGATCTCCACAAAAAACTGGTTCCCATAGTGCTCAGCTTGTTACTTGATAAAATTGTATGCCAATTAATCCTTCTTTTCAGCATCACCATCAGACTTGTCCATGGTTTCAGCAACACTTTCAGATGGATCATCTTCTGATGGCTATGCGCTCTCTGATGCAACACCTTCTAAGATTGGTTGATATGAGCAGTAGAACTAAAAGATTGGCTAATATGAGCTATGTTGCAATTTGATATGGGTGAAAGGGTGAAAGGGGATATACTTATAAGACATGAAGAAATTTTAAAAAGTGGCAAACATAGTGGCAAGTAGTATTTCTTGTATGATCATTTATGTGAACTTGATTAAGTTTGCTCCAATGCTTTACTATACTTATGGAAAAAGTGGTGGAAAAAGAGAAGTCTGAGCTGAATCATGAATAAGAGAAATAGACTCACATGGGTGGCCCCAAGTTAATAGATTAATGTTTAAGTAGGTTCATTTCATTCATCTGATCATGACAGTTTATTTAACTCTATATCTAAATGTATTTATCTTGTTTGCTAACTTTAGGCTGTCTTGACATTGGATGGACTTCACAAAATTCAGGCATTGGCCTTGGCAGTAGGATTTTTCATTTACCCCCTAACTCCCATTTTTTGTTGTTTGCTCTTTCCCTTATATTTGGCATTGGCTTATAAAAGCCAAGACTAGAATGGTTAAAAATTGTTATTAGTTATTGTTTAGGGTCATGGTCTAACTTTTCTTTGTATCTACTGATATATAGAAATCATTCTCTAGCCAACAAAGGCTAAAGTTACTTATCTTTCAGACGCATTAGGAACTTCCTATAGTTGTCTCGTAGATGCTCTCTTCTGCATCTTTTAAGAGATATGACATGTTGTGTTTAGTCTACTTCAAAATTGCCTGTTTTAAGTGCTGAAATGTTGGAATTTTCTCCACTTACAAAGTTACAATTAGAAGAATGAAAAGGAAGATGCAACCAACCCATTCTCTACTTATAAAGTTACAATTAGAGAACATTCTACTATACCCATTCTTATTTAATGACTTTATTTATTCTCTTTTGTAGGTGGAGCAACTGAAGAAAGGGAAAATGGAGAAGGTGGAGTAACTAAAGAAAGGGAAGATGGAGATAGTGAAGATCTAGACCTTACTTAAGAAGAACTTTGAGTTGTTGTCGATATTCTTGGAGTCTTTTGTTATAACATTTGAAACTTTAACTTTTGAAGTGTTGAACTATAAAACTTATGTAATTGGGTTAAAACATTTTTCTATTATCGTTATTCTTAGCTTATTGGACATGAAAGATTATGAAATATTTTATCTTTTTGTTTATATAATTTCCACGTTATAATTACAAATATTTCCAGGTAGTAATGTCAATAAAACGTTTAAAAAAGCCTAATAGAACCGTTGCAATAAGTGCAAATGTCGTTGCCATAGACATTCTAAATCGTTCCGATAGGTCTTGCAAACCATTCCAAAAAGTGTGACAAACTGATGCAATTGGCAATTGAAACTGATGCAATAGAAACAAAACTGTTACGGTAGCGTAGTCAAACCGTTACAATAGCTGTAAATAAACGTTGCAATAACATACATAACCGTCGCAGTAAACTATATTGTAACAGTTTCCAACCATTATAGTAAATAATATGGTAACAGTTTATAACCGTTGCATAAACTGCAGTTGAAATGAACACTCGTTGCTTCAGACATAAGGAAAACTGTTGCGATAGCTGGATCTATAGCAATGGTGTGGTCAACCGTTTCCACAACTGTTGTTGTAGATCTATTGGCACGCGAGCGGATGTCACGGTCGCTGAACCATTCCAATACATCAACATTTGACCTATCAATTGCAACGGTTTACCTGTTGTTTCCATAGGCCTATTTTCCAGTAGTGATAGGGCCATAGGAACAACAGAGTCCCATTTCACAGGGTGCACGCCCACATGCCCGTCACCTAGCATGTGTGTCACCTCAATACCAATCATATAACATGTAGTTCAGGGTTTCATACCCTCAGCACTAAGCTTAGAAGAGTCACTTATCTTAAACAAGCCAATTCCGACACCGAGCAAGCCAAGCGATGCTCCAAGAATCCCACCACGCGCGTTCCGACCTCCGAATGACTCGAAACTCAATTCATATTCTGATAAACTCCTTGAAAAATTGCCCAATTCCGAGCTCCTCAACTCAAAATATTTTAAATGCATAAAACCCTCATTTTAATACTGTTCTGCCTCATTTCTTGCGCTAAAAGATCTCGAAACTCACTTTTGATACCTTCAATGGATTGCTTGTGAAATTCTAGTCAAGTTAGGCTCTTGAATCACTCTATTTGACCTTATATTGAAGGAGATATGTTGGTTTCAATATTTAAAAATAGTGCAGATTTTTAAATACACAGCAGTGGTAATTTCGTAATTAATCTGAAAATCTAGCAACCCAATTCTTAGTATAATGACCATAAAATCCTCATACGATGTCCAAATTTGACGAATCTTGTTGATATGACTCCGTAATTACGATAAGGATCTAATGCTTCATTAAAAACATAAATCGAAGCCCATTTGTTCAATGTGGTACCATTTATGCTTGAAGAAACGACATCGAAACATAAGAAAAATGAGCGCAATACAACCCAAACCTATCTGAAACTCACCTGAGCCCCTCGGGACCCCGTCTAAACATACAAAAAGTTCCATATCATAATACGGACCTACTCGAGCCCTAAAAATACACATAACAATATCAAAATGATGAAATGCACCTCAAATCAAACTTAATAAACTTTTGAACTTTCAACTTTCAAAAACTCGCGCCGAAACATATCAAATAAACTCAGAATGAACCCAAATTTTGGACACAAGTTCTAATACATCATACGGAGCTACTCGTGCTCCCAAACTACCGAGCAAAGTGCAAATGCTCAAAACGACCGATCCGGTTGTTACAAATAACCTTTTTATGAATACGCACAACGCGGGAGAAATTGGTAAGGGAAGTACAAATTCTACGGCTAATCAAGTTGCTTGTCAAGTATCTAAAATAACGAGTCCATTACTCTAAGCCAGTATAGTCTGAGGTCATAATGCGAATTAAATCATTAAACAGACAAGAATAACATAGATAGTACAATTAAAGCATGGTGTCAGTCTAAGTCTATCCGGACATAATAAAAAATTCTAGCATACGAAAGGACACTCATCACCTCATACATGTATAGCCCTATAGCATGTAGCACATAATAAATATAATACCTATAGGGTAATTTCACCTCTCACGAGGTTAGACAGGAGACTTACCTCGTTCCGAAGTTCCATAACCGGCTCCAATGCCTCTCTAACACTTCAAACCGATGCTCATCGATCCGAAACTAGTAACACAACGTGAAGACCAATAAAAATAAATTCTAATACTCATAATTAATCAATTTATAACAATTCACAACTCAGCTCGAAAAGTTAATAAAGGTAACCCTTGGGCCCACGTGCACGGATTCTGTAATTGTGTGAAGATAAACCTTACCCATAACACCACAGACTCAAATATATAATTTATTCCTAATTCCATGCCCAATTTTATGGTCCAAATAGAAAAGGGGGTTTTAACGCCATATACCCCTCTATAAATCTCTTTACTCACTATATCTTAATTATGAAAGTTAACCATATACCTATAAAGAAATTATAACGTATAATTTGATAGAGAATTTTATGTGTGTAACAACCACTATTAATAAGGGAATAATATCCCTTAAATGTAGCCATAATAATTGAAACACATACTCAATGAATTTTGAGATTCACATCTCCTCTAATTAAACCATATTCCTATTTTCTATCAGAACTTCATTTTTGATATTGTATACTCTATACTTTCAAATCTTCCCATATATTTTAAACATACCACAATATTTTAATTTTAAATACAATTCAAATCTAATATATCACAATGTTCTAATGACAAGTATGTTATCTAAACCAAGCATATTACAATATTATAATTTAGAATATGTTATTCAAACTAATATGCCATAATATTTTAATTTGTAATACATTATTCAAATACAATAATATTCTAATTTGGAATACAATATTCAAACGAAATATGCCATAATATTATAATTTGGAATACTATATTCAAACAGAACATACTATAATATTCTAATTTGGAATACAATATTCAAATAATATTTTAATTTGGAATACAATATACAAACCAAATATTCTACAATTTTTTAATTTGAAAAAAATCTAATTTGAATATTGTATTCCAAATTAGAATATTGTGGTATGTTTGATTTGAATATTATATTCCAAATTAGAATATTACGTTATGTTTGATTTGATCGTTGTTTGATTTGAATAATGTATTTTTTATTAGGATAGTGTGGTGTATTGGTTTGAATAGCGTAATCTAATATTTTATTTTAGTTTATATATTAAATCCCAAATTAGAACATTGTCATGTTATTTTATTTTTCTTTTGATTACATGGATGAAAGAGAAGAAAAAGATTATGGAGGACTTCATAGAGAAATTACTCGGGTGAACTTTTTGGTGAACATGTATAATTTTAATTCCTTAAAACATTGGATGATGGAGTATTTTAAGGAATTTATTAAGTTTGAGTGAGAGATAATTCAGTTCCTTAAAAGGTGGGGTTTATTTAATGGCATATAATGATATTAAAAGTTTAAAAAGTAATAAACTTTTAGAAAATATGTATACAAGGTAAAATAAATATTTGAAAGGTATATGGAGTTAACTATCATTTCTAGTGGGCATACCGTGTAGATTACCCATAGAAAAATACCAAATTCTAGGTTTACATCCAAATCCCACAATTTCTACAAAAAATCATGTTTAAATTCATACGTAACTCATGTATTTATCTTATAACAAGTGAGAATAACTTACCTCATAATAGATGATGTCTTGCCTAGTTTTGGCATGATCATGGCTCCAGTGGAAGATCCGGAATGTGACACATGGAAGAAGAAGATATGGGTATCTCACTGTGAATCTCAAGCCTATCTTTTATATATCACTTTTATATTAAATGTGTATCTCTTGTATATTCGTGTATACCTGAATATGATATAACTGTTTGATTCATGTCATAGAGAAAGTTAGAAACTCGATTTTAACTATAAATTTTGACTCAAAACTAGTACAAATCACCTCTAATCTTCCTCGAATTTTGTATATTGACTCATCTATATGTTATCAATGAATATCAACCATACTTATTGAAAATGTCTGTTTTTGCTTAGGTTTTTGAAATGTTATATTTTCTTTATGTTTCTTTACCTTGCTTTCTACCTCATCAATGAAATTTTCTTTTCGTCCCAGAGGAAAGTTCCTTATTTATCTGGAATTTTTAATTTTGTATGTGCTTGACTTGTTTTGGTAAGTCTGTGATTAAAGGATATAGGTGGGTAAGTTTGGACATTTTTCGTAATATTCTCTTTAACTAAAATCTTTCTAAATTTCAAATTCATAAATATAGAAGTATTTATAAAGTTCAAATAAGGAAAAATTAAATTTATAGAACTTTAATTAATTTTAGAATCCTAAATATTAGAAAAATAACTAAATGACTATTACTAGGTATTAGAGAAATAATTAAATGACTATTCGTAAATATTAGAAAAATAAATAAATAAATATACATAAATATTAGGATAATACTGAAAGACTATTTTGTCTAGTCTAAACTTTAGTTTTAAAGGAAAAAATCTCACTAAAGGCCTTGTCGCTTTTAATACAATTAGCCTCTATGTCCGAGCTTTGCACCTATATCTCAAATTAAGTATTGTATAATTTGTACAAAAGATAGCAAAATATTAATCCTCAAAAAAGCTAATTAACTTGAACATGCATCACTTTTATCAAAATGATTTATAATTTCTTGTGAACAAAGGTTCTCCAGCAAAACTGAACTTTGAGATCAAAAGAAAAACAATAATGAACAATTAGAGAAAGCATGTAGTAATAATTTTCTGTCGACATTGTGAATATTCTTCACCTATCAACTTACAATTTCTAGCCAAATTAGACTTTGTAATCAAAGAAAAAAATTTAAGAAAATTATGCAATAAAAACTTCTTAGAAGTATCAAGAAATCACCCCACATAGAACATGAAGCACACTCCAACTCTTTGCCAACGACTCTTCTTTATCGCCTTGGTCCAATTTTTTTTTTTTTTTAACTCTTATTACCACTCTAGGCATGTGATATCTCGTCGAAATCAAAATTAAATTTACATGCT